CTTGGCATGTGTGCGTTTTGCCTCTCTGATGGCTCGGGACAGTTCGGCCCTTGCTGTTCTTAAAGCCGCCTTGTCCCTTGCTCTGAAGGCAGAGTCTCTGGAATTTAACAGCGCACGTACCTTTGCAGTCATCCACGGTTTCTGGTTGGAGCGTGATGGACTTGGAGATGGTCACGTCATCAATGCACTTTCCAATGTATCTGGTCACTGATGATGTGTACTCCTCCAAGTTAATGGAATCACCGTTGGTTGCAGCCTCCCTGAACATATCCCCGTCAGTGCACTCAAAACAGTCCCGAAGAGCAGAGATGGCTCCTTCTGGCCAGGTTTTTACCTGTTTCAGAACCGGTTTCGAGCGTCTGACGAGTGGTCTGTATGCTGGAATTAGCATAACAGAGATGTGGTCTGAGTATCCGAGGTGGGGGCGGGGCTCCGCGCGGTACGCGCCGGGTATGTTTGTGTAAACAAGGTCCAGCGTGTTTACCCCTCTCGTAGCAAAGTCCACATGCTGATGAAATTTAGGGAGCACTGTTTTGAGATTCACATGATTGAAATCTCTGGCGATAATAAATAATCCGTCAGAGTGAGCATTCTGCAGGTCGCTAATAGCTCCATAGAGTTCACATATAGTGCCTCCTTCGCATTAACGCTAAGCGGAATGTACACTCCGACAATGAAAACGGTGGTGAATTCCTGTGTTAAATAAAATGGTCTACACCTTACAGTCACAAACTCCACTAGCGATGAGCAGACGCTGGAAACCAGCACAGAGTTCTTGCACCATTCCGTGTTGATATAAACACACACACCACCGCCGCGAACCTTACCGCACAGAGCTGCATTTCTGTCGGCTCGAAACGTGGCTAGCCCGTCTAGCTGGATGGCGGCGTCCGGAACTCTGTCGCTGAGCCACGTCTCCGTGAAAACAAGGACGCAGCAGTCTCTGAGCTCTCACCGTGTAGTCCGCTGGAGTCAGATGTAGTCCAGTTTATTGTCCAGGGAGCAGACATTTGATAGAAAAATGGACGGGAGAGCCGGCCGGCTAGGGTTAGCATTTAGCCTGGTGCGGACACCCGCCCGCTTACCGCACTTCCGCTTCCTCGAGCACTGCTTCCGATGTCCTCTCTCCCGGTCACCGGCATCAGGCGACGCCGAGGACTGGGGGCCTGGTCTATGCGAAGTTTGTTAAATACATCATCATGCAGACTGGTTGCTGCATGATTTCTGTACTGCACTAGTGTCTGGTGGTTGTATACATGAACACAGTTGTCTTTGGTGTTCATGTACATCGAAAGGTCGTGCTAAAAACACTAAAAGCACCATTTTGGATCCGGAGAGGCCGCTGCGAGCTCCTGCCGTGCCGCCATCTTGGATATATGGTACAGACAGCGAGAGGGAGAGGTTTAAAATGTCCACGAAAACACCAGCTAACTGTTCCATGCATACTTTGAGGATGAGTCCGGGGATGCCATCTGGTCCAGCGGCCTTGTGGATATTCACCCCCTCAGAAGGATCTGTTTACCCGCGTTTAGGGCCACGTGAATGTCGATGTTAATCCACAGTTTCTGATTTGAGTAGATCCGTTGCGGTCGGCACAATGTCTTCTATGCACTTTCTGATGACACTACGGTATTCGAGTAAATCTAGATATCGCCATCGGAGGCAGATCAAAACATCTACCAGCCCACGTGATCCAAACAGTCCTGTAGCATACAATCCGATTGGTCCGACCAGCACTGGATCGTTCTGAGGGCGGGTGCTTCCTCATTCAGCTTCTGCCTGTAAGTGGGTAGGAGCAGGATGGAAGAGTGATCTGATTTGCCGAAAGGTGGGTGGGGAGGGATTTGTAGGCATCCTGGAAGAGAGAGTAGCAGTGGTCTGAAACCTGGTCCCCCTGTGTATTGCATGTGATGTGTTGAAAAAGTTATTGTTCTGAGGTTCGCTTTGCTGAAGTCCCCAGTCACAAGGAACCCGGCCTCAGGGTTCTATGGAGTTGTTGACCATAAAACATACACCCCGTCCTCCTCTTTTCCCCGAGAGGTCTTTCGCCCTGCCTACATGGTGCAGGGAGAACCCTGTGGGCTCGAAGGCTGAGCCTGGAACCTCCAGACATCCAGGTTTCCATGAGGCAGACAATGCAGCAGTCTCTCGTCTCTCATTGGTAGATCCACGCTCTCAGCACTGACGAGAATGCCGGCTGTACTTCCACTCTTCTGACTGCGCTTTAGCGCTCGCGCCCAGGCAGCCTAGACAAAGTGTTGGTAAACAGCAGTTCAGTGTTGAGGAACTCAAAGCCTCGAAGCCTGGTTTGCTGTGTGCGATTGAAGAGCCAGTTTCTAGAAGTGTCTGTCATAGACAATGAGGCTGGCGGCTTCCAAAATGAAAAACATAAACATAGCAGAAAAAACTGATAAAACACTTCCAGACTGGGTCAGAGCTTGCAGCACTGTGGCCATACTCGCCGTCATCTTGTGTATCGCTCAAGACTGCATTAACTGCATTACCTGCATAATTACCAGAATACTGATTCCCACAATGTGAATAGCACATTTGGCCATTGCATTTGTTACACCTCTAAAAATAAATAAATAAAATTATATACTGAGCTGTAATATTATTTAACATAAAAGCTTGTATCAAGAGTAAAATTAATTAAGCAGTGTCCATAAACAAACCAGATTCTGGTACTGTGCGTGTAGCAGGTTTGATTTCTGTCATGTTTCAGTGGGAGATGAAGATAATGAACACAATGAACATGGTCTTGTAGAATAATCATTCATTCATCCCCACTGTTTTCCCATTCCAACTCCTGTCATGAAGTGTGTGCAGTATGCAGTGCTGCTTAATGAATTCATCAGAGTGGATCAGGGAGCCAGACAGAGGATATTTATTTGCTCTTTATTTTGAATTTGTCTGGAATAATTCTTTCTTTTGCAGTTGACAGTAAATTCACCACAGAAGCTACAGATACTAACAAGTTAATCACAAAAATGAGGTAACAGCTGCTTTAATGTTACTGATGTACAGCTCTGTGTGTGTTCTGTGTTTCTGCAGACATGTGGAGCTACACACTTCTGTTTGGGCTGCACGTTTTCACCTGTAAGTCTTCTTTTCCTGTTAGTAGTGTAAACACACATACACACACACACACACACCTACATGGTAACTGATGAACTAATCTGTCGTCTCATTATTCACATGTATTGTGACGTGGTGTTGGTGTGTTCAGCATTAGCATTATCTACTCAGTGATTTGTGTTAATAGCTCACATTAACTCTACTTCCTTTCTCTTCTTCTTCTTGTTTTCTTCAGTAGCTGCCACTGTGTCTGGTGAACGTTCTGTAACGGCCAAACTTCATCACCCTGCTACTCTCACCTGTGACTGGAAATGTCCTGGTTCACTCAAATGGACCCTGTTTGATAAACCAGGTAATGTTCTGGCTCGGTGTGATCAGACATCATGCAGGTCAGAGGAGGGATTTAACATCTCTCATGATCAGTACCTGAAGGGGAATCCACATCTCACCATCACTGCAGCTGACTACAGTACGAGAGGTTTATACACGTGTCAGTGTGATGGCACAGACGTCTGTGACGTGCGGCTTGTCACTGAGAGTAAGTGACCACCTTTTTTCCCAATAAGCACTAAGTAGAAGCATTTCAAGGACGATTGATAGAAGTAGGAGGCACCAGAACTCGATGGGGAGTGTCATAACAAAGAGCCTGAATAATTACGTCTTTTAATTTTAATAAATGTACAAAATATTCTTAAAACCCATTTTGCTGTGTCATTGGGGAGTATTGTGTGTAGACTGATGACACAAGCAATGAGTGGAATTTATTTTAAAATGAGTCTAAAACATACCAGAATGAGGAAAAGGGTCTGAAACCTTCGCGTTTGCAGTATAAGCTGTGTTCTCTGTGCGTTCTGTGTGTTTTCTCCAGTCTGGCTTTTAGCTAATTAGCTACTGATAGCCACCTAGTGTAACAACAGTCCACTGAGGCGAGCGTAATGAAGAACCCAAGTGCAGCTTTTATTTACAAAGTGAAAACCAAAATTACAAACAAAGGCTTGCCTTGACATGGACAAACTTGACTTGGCATGAACAAGCTTGACACGAACAGACTGCAGGTTACAACATCAATACAGGACAAAAGACAATGGCTACATGAGGGCTATATATACACCAAACAATCAAGGTAACATGACAATACAACCAGTGAGGAACAAGACACATGACTAACCCAACCAATCAGAACAAGACACATGAAACCAAGGAACCAATGAGAAAGTGACACAAAGACAAGGGTAACACATGACTAGATCACATGTGGGGCAAGGAACATATGGGAAATGGAGTGCAGAAACAATAGTAAGAGTCCAGGGTGGAGTGCCCTCTAGTGGAGTTCATGGGCACTCCAGCTGGGAATCGTGACACCTAGCTTGCTACCTTTATTTGAAGCTTTAGAAGAGGGCGAGACTTCTTGGCTGCACTTAAGACTTATTTGCTGAAGTTGCTCAGTGAGTTCCTCTGTACAAGAACCAAGTGGGTACAACAGTGCTATAATTGAGTAGGTTCTGTTAGCTCTTTTTCTTGGAAATTCTAATTTCAGAGCTGAGGTTATTGGTGGTAACTGATAGAAATATAATATTTCATCTGTAAGCATGATTGTAAAAGATGCCCACTGGGATATTTTGCAACCCTGATCAAGACTAAATCCCCTCATCAGTCAGTTTTATAGTGTTCAGTGTAGCAGGAAAAACAGGACTGTCACTTGTCCAGTCACTCGTTTCTGTTGGTGTTTACCTACATTCTGTTGTGTTGGTGTTGGTTCTGTGTTTATAGATGTAGTTTTGTGTTGTTATTTACATTTATGGTAGACGTCCTTATCCAGAGCGACTTACATTTATCACAGTTATTCATCTGATCAAATTATATTTATGGAATTGAGCTGTTGAGGCTTGAGGGCCTTGCTCTAGGGCCCAGCAGTGGCAGCTTGGTGGTGCTGAGATTTGAGCTCATGACCTTCTGAGTAGCAGTCGAACATCTTAACCACTGAGCTACTACTGCCCTACACACTACCCACTTTCTGCTCGTATTTCTAATGTCCTAACTTTCCTCTCCTTAGCTCAAGTGCTGAGCCGTGAGATCACCCCAGGCGAGCCCATAGACGTGTACTTACCCCTCACTGACAGGGTGGAGGTGAGTTTTACTGCCACTGATGCTGCACAACCATCAGACCTGCAGATCTGCACCGTGAACAATGAGAAGATATGGTGCAGTCCAGATTATAAAGAGAGAGCGTCTCGCATCAACACTCTGCAGATTAAAGAGGGACATGTCTCTGACAGTGGGAACTACACAGTACGGGATGTAGAGAACGAGGAGACTTTAACCATCGTAAAGGTCCATGTGAGAGGTAAGAGAGTGTAAATCAGCAGATACTGTATATAACTGTTATACTGAATACTGACTTCACTACTGAATACAGCTTTTAAACTGTGACAGTCTGGGTTTAAATCTGTATGAGCTGAGACTGGAGGGGTGTGTGTGTGTGTGTGTGTGTGTGTGTGTGTGTGTGTGTGTGTGTAGAGGTGTGTGTGTGTGTGTGTGTGTGTGGAGAGGTGTGTGTGTGTGTGGAGAGGTGTGTGGAGAGGTGTATGTGCGTGTGTGTGTGTGCTGTAGTCTGATTCCTGACAGAAACGGCTCTTCTCAGATCAGGAGTCTGAGTGTTTATCACTGCAGTAAAGAGCACAGAAAATGAAAATGAGCGGCAGCAGGTGTCGTGCAGCGTAATTCAGTGTAACAGTCCAAAGATAATTCAAAAAAGAATAAAAAGGAGGTAACTCCTCTTACAGTAGGTCCACTCTGTAACTTGGCTATGCCAGACTACAGGCCCAGTTACTTAAGCACAATTTTGCTTCCACACTTTTGACTCTCCCTAAAATGGCTGCCTGGGGCTCTTTTATAGGCTTGGCTCCGCCCACTTTTGGAAGCTACCATTGGAGGGGAAGATCTATACATTACAAAACAAATAACAGAATCAAACAAATAGACTCTCATAGCATCCAACTCTACAACATATAACATGTAGTTCTAGTATAATTTACATGGTTTAAAACAATAAAAACCAGACATATAAGAAAGCACTTCCATCCTTGGTTCCCCGTCTCCCCTGATGTAAGAGTCAGATGGAATATTCTACCATGAGCCAATGCTAGCTTTAAATATGGCTGCTTTCCAATTGGACAAATTTGGCAAGTGAGAATGGATCCAGGAGGTACAGCGGTTTGAGATACAATAAAGTTAAGTTCATTACTGAATTAAATCGAATAAATGCTTGATGTATAGGGTATCTGTGTGCTGTTTTTGAGTTATGTTATAGAAACAGAATGAATCAATTAAACATTTAAACAAGCAACAGCAACACACCTACAACAATGAAACTAACAGTTTGGGACAGTTAATGGGGTGAACAACACCAAACCAGGGCTACAAACACTAAAATATGTAAGGGTGGTGTATCTTTGCCAGCATTTAGTTTGTGTGTATGCACAATGGTGGAAACAGTTTGTGTGTACAAGCCTCAGTCCCTTCAAAATAAAAGTCCTGGGGCACAGGTAGTCTGTGACAGGAACGACTGCATGTTAAGATGGGTATTAGAGCCACATGCTGTAAATACTGTGTGATGGTGTGATGGGACTCTGGAACACTGGAGAGCTCACAGGGTGATTCTTCTGTGTGTGTTTTGCAGAGCCGTGTCCAGACATCAGGCAGGAGGGAGGAGTACCAGCGTGGGGGATTGTACTGATAGTGCTGCTGCTGCTGGCTGTAGCTGCGTTTGTGGTCCTGATGCTGATGTTTGTGCGTCTGAGGAGAGAAAATCAGCAGCTCTGTAGGAACAATGAAAGGAGCGGACACAAGCTGCGCCCAATGAATGGAAGTGTAACAGTGTCGGGGTCAGGGTTTGAGTGTTAATGTTTCTGAAATCACGCTGAGCAAATGGACTTCAGTTCAGTGGTGTTTAATGCTGCGTTTCAGTCACGTCTAATTCAGCACACGCAGGGAAACGTGATGCTTCTCTTCATAATTCAGTATCAGCCGTAAGAAAGGACCAGAATAAATAACTGCTGATGTGATGATCAGAGTGGAGACGAGCCACAGTGTGTAAAACTACTGATCAGGAGCTACTGAAACTTCTTGTACTGACTGGTGCTAAGTGAGGACCTGAGTTTACATCTGTGCCTTATAGACCTCCCTTTACCCTTTATTACAGGTATTAAAGCTCTCAGTAAGACCTTTTATAACGCATAATAACTGATGCACTATATCACCCCGTGCCTTATAGACCTCCCTTTACCCTTTATTACAGGTATTAAAGCTCTCAGTAAGACCTTTTATAACGCATAATAACTGATGCACTATATCACCCCGTGCCTT